AGCGATGGTTCTTCCAGAGTGGCCGCTGATATCAAAGATAAGGGAAACAGCCCAAGCAGCGAGGAGGATAAAACTAGATCTCGAGGCCCTCTCAGCGGCATGGTGGGCGACGTTGTGAGCAATCTCGTGGCCCAACACAGCGGCAAGGCCAGTCTCACTCTGGCAAATAGGCAGAATACCCGAGAAGACGAAGACTTTTCCGCCAGGCATTACGAAAGCATTCTTCTCTCGAGGGTCGTTGATGACATGGACCCGCCAGTCATCGCCTGCAAGACCTCGAGTGGTTGGAAGCAGCTTTTCAACAACTTTGGCAACTTGCATGGTTAAAGGATGGTCGGCCGGAAGGATTTTGCCTTGAAATTCTTGCAGGATGGCTTTGTACATTCCAGCCCCGCCGAAGAATTCCTTCTCTGCCGATGGAGAGATCATATTAAACCGTCGTCTGTGAGTGACTGGGACCTCTTCAAGGTTGTAGACGTAGAATACGCCGCCGCCAACACCAATCACAGTCAGCGGCCTCTGGTAGTTCCGCCAGAGGTACTGCATGCGAAAGACGGGGCCAAAGTTGCTCCATTGCTGTTGCTGCCCCTGCTCCTGGCCATACCCATTGCCATCACCAAATCGCCTATAACGCGAGCGGGGACCCCAAAAGAGAGACCGCCGTGATTGAAACTGCGAAGCTTGTCCGAACCTGAAAACAGTTTTAGAGCTGTGCTGAAAGCGCCGGCAAGCCGCTTGATTGGCAGCTCGCTGGAACACCCGAAAGGTGAACATGAGAGGATAGAGGCGTCGCAGAGTATCTCGGGCGGCCTGTATATGTGTCAAGCTGGATGGATGATGTGTGATGAGATGGCCGGCGCTTCTAATCACTATATAGCATGATTATTGTTCGGTTAGTCTTCAAACGTCAGATACTTATAGCAATAGTTCGAAGGCGAAAGGCAAATAAGGCCGAAGTTGAAATGACGCAGGCAAAACAGAGATATTGGTCATGTGACCTCCAAGCCTACCTTGATATATTCCTGCTTTCCGCTGACCTTTCATCCACCTGCTTCGATACATCTGTGACATCTCAAGTCACAACGATGTCGTTGGTCGCATACTCAGATTCCGAAGGCTCAGAAGACGAGAAGATCCAGCCGCCACCGAAGACCGATAAGCCCTCGACGAAGATCGCCATCAACACGAACACGAACTTCATAGTCAACAAAGCGAACCCCAGAAAGATCCAGGTCAAGCTACAAGATGCGCCCATTAATGGTGACACAGATGGAGAGCCTGCTCTGAAGCGACCTCGAATCGGCGGTGGAGGGGGGACGTTCAGTGGTTTCAACGCTATGCTGCCTGCGCCTAAACGAGATGCTGATTCCAAAGCCCCTCCAAAGCCTGCTGCAAGGAAAGTCTTTAGCCTGAAGACGGGCGCCGAGCCTGGCTTCAGTCGAGAGGCGGATGAAGAGCTACGCAATTTGTTTGCAGAACAAGAGCACAAAAGGAAAAGCACGAACTTCGAGACGGACGAGACTATACCTTCGATACCGAAACGAGCAGACCCCGCGACAGACGTACCGAAGCCACAGCCGATACAAGGAAATCCCTTTATGTTCAAACCACTCTCCGTGGCGCGAAATAGTAAGAAGACAAAAAGGAAGCTTGATGGCCTGAAATCAGCAATTGCGACAGCGCAAGGTGAGGCGACAGCTGCTTTATCGAGTGATGCGGGTTCTGCGCACTCCCGAATTGCCGAGCCTGTTCCTCCTCTGAAGAAAGTCAGCCTATTCTCCATGGATGGAGGGACAACAACGGCGCCACAACCTCAAAACCAACAAGAAGAGGACGAGATCGTCGAGTTCTCAGATGAAGCTCCTGAAGACGCCATTCCATTAGTACCAATAGAAGTTCCCGTCACTAGCTCAGCAAATTCTCAGCCTCAATCCCTCGACTCCATCGCTGCTGATCTGAATCTCTCGAAAGCAGACCGGCGGCAGCTGTTCGGGCGCCGCGGCCAGACAAGTGGTACAGCCATCAACGTGGTCAACTTCAACACGGACCAGGAATATGCGGCGAACGAACTCTTGCGCGCGAGCGGAGAGCAAGTGCAACACAATCCAGTTCGAGCTATTGCTCCAGGCAAACACAGCCTGAAACAACTGGTAAACGCCGCTACTGGGCAGAAAGAGGCACTCGAAGAAAGCTTTGCCACCGGGAGGAGAAACAAAAAGGAGGCTGGAAGCAAATATGGATGGTAAATTGTTTTCTTCCGACTATGGCCGACCCTTTGAGCACTCGATCTAGCTCTATCTTTTGACGAGAGGCTTTGGCGACGGCACCAGCAGCCTACAGCCTGTTGCCTCGACATGTGGAAATTGACCCAGTCAACGCCGAGCCCTGGCATGATCACAATAGCAACATCTCACTTTTCACTGTACGCCTCGGTCATTTCTCTCACCATCCCTGATCGCCTCATCAAGGAGTTCTCCGCAAGGGGCAGCCGCCTCCATCAATAGTCCCTGGCAGAAGAACCGCTCTGAACTTTGTTGTCAACATTTTGTTCCCAATTCACAGAGCTATCCATGAAGCTATCATCCTGTCTCTTGCTAGTAGTGCAGTGGTTGATAGCATTACGTTCGCTTCATCTAGCGGTCTCGGCCAAAGTTCCTCCTTGATTGGGATTGTGTCGACTCTGGTGTTTGCCACCACTTCCTTGATATGGCGGGCGATTGAAAGTTCCGGGCAGATCGTGCCCAACTGGACCCGTTGCTGGAACAATCCCTGGTCTAAATCTGTTGGGCTTCATCTCGCGAACGCCAGACACCATCACTAGTCTCGGGAAACATCGGTTGGCCCGGTTGGTATGGATATATCCACATTTGTCGAAACTGACCTGGACCTATCACCACCACCTGTCGCTGACGGTGACCCCCACCATGGATGATGAGGAGACACTGTGAAGTGAGTGGTCTTTTGATCCGCAAAAGCGTTATCTTTTCGACCAAAGCTGGGTTCCGTGTCTGGCTCAAGCGCCGGTAATGCTCGGTAGATCGAGTGCGTTCTTTCGGGGAAAGTGTGGAATCCGGGGAGACAGCGAACTGTGACTTTTGCTCTGGCCTTGACATTGGTTTTGATTCGACAGGACTCTCGCGGTATCAGATCCGCGAGGGGCTTGCATTTTGGCAGCTGGGCATGGAAATTTCCTGGACCATGCGATATCCGTTGTGAGGCTTTGAATAGGCTGTTGACCTGACAAAGCCGATGGAAATTGCGCGCTCCGTCTGTGAGTTCTTTGACAGTGTAGGAGGAGTTCTAGCGAAAAGTCGGAGTGGAGCTGTTGTCGTCGCCGAAGACGTCTTGGGATAGAAGATCAAGCAGGAGGAGCAAGTGGGTAATACAGATTCTGCGGATCAACCAAGGCAGTGGTGCTACAGCACTTCTGGTCTCCACGCGGGCAGTGGCAGCTCGAACAGTTGTTACTCAGGCAGAGGCGGAGGTGAGGGAGAGGCTACCGGGTACTACTGCGACTGTAACTGCCCTGATATTCGCTTGCAGCCCTGCCGCGCGGTTCGGCCAGCACTCCTTGAGGACAGTGAAGAAGCAGCGCCGGAAGATAAAGTCGCTGGGTTGCGCTTCCTGTTTGCGCAGTGGCCACATACAGGTTTGATACCATCACAGCTCTTGCGCTGGAGGATGCAGCGCTCACGTTGCTCACATCGCTCATAGTGGTCGGTCGATTCGTCCCATTTGATCTTCTCCCGCATTTCAGCTGAATGCTTTTGTTCGGGTCGTTACCGCTTGCATCGCTTCTACCATCATTGTCATTCTTGTCATGCTCTTCCTCTGAATTGTCTTCAATATTATTTCCTGTTCTTAAGGGTTGCGCTGATGGTGACACGGCAACGATAGCTGCAAAAGCACTCTCCGGATTCAATCGATCCTGGGAGTTGCGAGGCACCGAGTCAGATGAATGAAAAAGGCTAATGAAAAGTTCTAGGGGGAGTGCTGTTGTTGAATGGAACCCAGATCACAAAATACCATACCTGAGAACACCAGGAGTGCTGCTCGGCCATGCTGGACAAGAAGACTGCGATGGTCGTCTCTGCTCTCGAATGCGAGATCGAAAATCCTACGCAGGAAACTTGCTGGCAATGGACTTGGGCTTGTTGTCCTCGCTCACTCGAACGAGATGGAGCGTCATGCATGTCGGGAAAGACTTGGGCATGGACGCAGGTAATGGGCTCTAGGTTATCCATCTTCCCACACCACGGGGAGAGACACAGGGGGAGAAAGGGAGAGAACGAGGGATATCTCAAGGTCGCAGGTAATAAGAAGCTCAAGGGAGTGTTTCGAAAAGATGGGTCCTGATGATGGTTGATGTTGCACCCTCTTCGACAGAAGGAAGCCTTCATCACTCCCCAGTTTCACGCCCGCTGTATATTCCCGTCCTCTACACGCGCCTTGCATTGTAATGATAAATAACGACTGATCAATCTCATAGACAAATATCCCACATACCACCTCTTCTTTGGCTTCGTTTCTTTGGCTTTGCACCGCAAAGAAAGAAGTTGTTGCTTCAGATACAATCTAAATTTGGGTCTGGCTAGGTCTTGGCGCTGCAGCAGTTACCTGACATCTAGTATTTAAACTTGTTCTGTCAAACCTGTTGACACTCTACTTAGATTCTCAATGAACTAACCTTTTATATGACCGTAACTGGTTCAACAGAGTGCTGCGCAAGCGACGTCGGGGCTTTGGCCGCGGCCCCGTCAAAGTACGGCAACTCTTTCTCCGCGACCTGGCTTTCTCGCCCTACTGCTGGATAAAATCTGCATGCAGGAGGCCCAGTTCTTGCAGATGGCTTCAAGTGAAGAAAGCACGCTTTTGGGCTTGAGGTTCTTCTGGTTCTTGAGGAGAAATCCCAACGCTGCCCGTCCTCCACCCCTTGGATGGCGCCATGGCCGCCGAACGGCTGCATCGGATGGGTGGCGTCACCTATGAGGACGACACGTTTACAGGCCCATGTGGGAAGCGGATCGTAGATGAAAAGGGGCCAGCGCTGGATGTCGCTGGACAGAATGATGATCTTCTGACCTCTTGAGTCGAAGTGGCCGAACTAGGTCATCAGGGCCAGCTTGAGCTCTGCGGTGGCGTCTACGACCGTTGTTTAGCGGGCCCCACGACGTATCCTCCTCGGCCTCATTCTTGATGGCAAGCCTCAGGAGTGCCTGGTGCAAGTCGGCACGGTGCACTACGAGCATTCCCGGCTCTGGGTGGCCCGGCGTGGCACTGAGCGGCACGGAACTCAGCTGCTTAAAGTCGTCCCCGCGCAAGACGTCCCAGTGGTGTGAACGACAAGCGCGGGCTCACACGGCGTCGAAGCCGAGATGCGCGAGCACGCGGCCACTATTGGGGTTGACATGGAGGGCGGCGCCAACCACTGTTGACAGAGAGGACTTTTCGAGAACGACAACGCGCTTGCCAGCTTGTTGGAGAGAGGAGGCAGCAACAACGAGGCCAGCGATGCCAGCGACGACTGCTATGATGTTTAGGGACATAGTGGGTGGCTGGGAGTATAGTATCAGGGTATGATGAGCAGGCCTGGGTTCAAATGAGCCCGAAAGTCGAATTTGAAGGTCCTGTTGCATCAAAAGGGAGGGTTTCCCGGGCTGACGGGTCTCACCAGGGCAAATTCCTCGTAGTAATACCCCAATGCTCCACAATCAATCGAAACTAAACAATAAGAGCCTTTGCCATGTTCACAGAGCTTTCTCTCGAATATGGGTAAAGTGGATTTGAAACGGCGGTGTTGATGCATATAGCATTAGAGTCCAAGCTTACGGGCCCAGCTGCAATATCTCAACTTTATCAACCACGCCGGTTGTACCAGACCATCTCACAACCTGGACCATGCAGTCACCATGAGCAAGTCAACCGCCTGCCTAGAGTCCCTCGCGGCCACCATCGTCGAGAAAGTCACTGCTCTCTCGCACCGTCTCGGCGCCGAAGGCATACCGAAGCCTACAGTCTAGGAGCTTTCTGAATAGGGTGTCCAGATTAAAGTGATTGGATGCGATGTATCAGTGGCTGCCTCGCTCGCCACAGCTCTGAATAAATGCAGGGTTGAGCTCGGACCCATCCATCGCGTCTTCCAGTGCGCAGCGGTCCTGCACGACGCACTCTTTACAAACATGACGTACAGCGAATAGACTGGAGCATTTGGTCCAAAGACCAGGAAGTTAGAACCTGAGTGTCTCGCTCCCCGACGTTGACTTCATCATGCTGAGCTCCTTCGTGTGGTTTCTGGGAACCGTGGGCAAGCCAACTATGCTGCTGGCTGTGCATTCCAAGATGCGTCGACTCTTGCGCGTCGCGCTCTCGGTCAGTCCGCAGTAAGCATCTACCTCGGGGTGAGGCGCAATGTGGGTGCTCTCGCAGAGAACGGCGCCATAGGGGGCATCAAGGAATGGGAGGAGGTATGGGGGATCCGCGAAGACAGCTTTCTCACCCTTATGTAACTAAGTATACAGACCGACCAGATGGGCATCGGGGCGCGGGTCGTCACCGGTCTGGGACGCGGGCAGGCTCCCTTACCGCAGGCATCAAGTAGCCGTATTATTTCGAGACCCATCCTCGCTTGGTGTCCCGCTCATGTGGGCTGAGGTGGCAATCCGGAGACCGGAGGCGCTCGACTCGCTGGAGGCGATTGAAATTGTAACTTGGGCACTGGAGAGATTTAGGTGCGCATTGCTGTGTTTGATGTCATGGCGGCCGTGCTTCTGACCGTCTTTTCCGAGCACGTTGCTGCTAAATCTAGGCTGCTATCTCAAAAGGTGATCACGGCAAATTAAAACGTTGGATTAGCTTGTAACGATGTTGCTCCTAAACTTTGGTATATTACGGTCTTACTTCATCCCCCCAACACATTTTCTCGCTTTCTCGAACTAGGTTATTTGTAGCGTCAAGATGATGAGTCCCTCAGCAACGTGGGCTAGACGTCTGATTGAAGTAGAGCCGCTGGGATAGAAACGATGAGACGCGAAATGGGACGTGGCTTGACTTTTAAAGAGGTTGGAAGTGCTCGCCAGGAAGCGACAAGGATGAACCCTCCACGTGACCCTCCCAAAGTAGGCAGCACTTTCGGCCAAATTCGGCGGGAAATTTCTCCGCCTACATTGTTAATTCCACCTCTTGCACCTCCTCCCAGTCACTGCCTCATCAGTGCCTCTCCAGCATGGGTCATCAAAGGTCAGCCTGTGATCGCTGCAGAAGCCAAAAGCTGCGCTGTCCACGCAGCGATAAGTCTAAGGGCGACCCATGCGCCAGATGCTTGGGAGTCGGGGTCCAGTGCGTTACCAGCAGTGCACGACCCCTGGGACGACCTCGAACAACAGGACTAGCCGAACGAAGAACCAGATCCATCAAGACAGGAAACAGAGCACCAGAAACCCTTAGTGTGGGTTTGGCCTCTCCGCGCCCACCATCGACAACGGTGGGTGTGCGAGCATGTTCTAATCTGTGGACGTCTGCGGGCTTGGATCCGTTCTCCAACTATCTTCCAGATCCGTCCATCGTGACCGGTCCTTATTTCGAAAATCCAGTCCCTAGCTCGACATTCCAGACGAACGTGGAATGTGCCTTCGATCTCCAATTGCCAGCTCACGATGACCTCTTCGATATTGGACTGCCAACGGGACTTTCCCAACGCCCGCAGAACGGCTTTGGCCAGCCGGCCTTTGCCGAAAGCCATTCACAGGGACCATCATTGGAGCCTTCGAAACCTGCAGACACACTCACTGCCCTATCAAGACTGAATGAAGATATCGTTAGACAGCATTCCCAGCTAAATTCGTACCTCTGGGGACCTGTGAATGGGGCGCAACATTGTCTCGATAAGCTTCACGAAGTTGAGGGAAACCCTATGGCCGAGTTGCTGCAAAGCACCTCCCAGTTCGTCGCTATTATCGAAGACTTGGACCCGTTGTCGCTACCACCAAACAAAACTGTCGACAGGTCTCTGCCCCACTTGCCTCCGGCCTCGGACTCTGGTTTCTACACTTCGACCTCCGAACAAAGGGAAACATTGTTGTCTGTACATGGATCCTCCGCAGACGCAAGGCCATTGAGCATGCCAATCGCGCTGATGCTTCTGTCAAGCTACCTCCTTCTCGTGGAGCTCTACGACGCACTATTTATCCGTGTACATGATGCTCTGTCTAAGTTGGCAGACGTCTATGCCTTCTTTCATGAGTTGCCCGAATTCCGAGTGGCTGGCCTCCCATCAATGAAACTGCATCTATACGCCAAGATCATCCTCCAAATTATCGAGCATCATTTCGATCGTCTCGGACACCTGCTGGGCCTCCCGAAAGAATTTGACCTCTCTGAACAGACTACGCATTGCAAGGGACTATTGAGCACTACGGACCTATCGCAGCTTCTACAAGTCACAATGACACAGATGAGCGGCAGTCCTAGAACATCGGGGAGTCTAACACTGAAGTCGTTCAGGTCCAATCTGAAGGGTATCCAAGCTATGCTGCCAGGATAGTGAGACTGTTCTCAACCCTTTGGACATGGTTCTGTCAGGGAATACCGTAAGTGTCGGTTTTCAAACTCGAGTGTTTGTTAGAAAATGCATCCAAGGGCTGCAAGAAATTCAAGCTACATGTTCTCTTCGGTCCTGTACCATTTCACCCATTTCAGAGAAAACCCATTCGGAGAAGTTTAAGTGTTTCACACCATCCCGTTAAACGACCATCGCGAGGAACGATTCAGACTATACCCGTCCTACACTAATTCAGTCAAAATCTTCTAGGCCAGGATTGATGCTCGATCTCCTATTCCTCCGGGGCCTTATTCTCGGCCTTCGCCTTTTCCATGCCGAATTCAGTTTCAAGTTCCTGGCGGAGTGGAACCTCTTTCTCCAAAAACACCAGCAAAAACCCTAGTGCTGCGAACCCAATCCCAACCTGCCATGTCCGACGGAGGCTTTCATTTAACACTGCAATGAACTGCTCGCGAGTGGAAGCAGACAGTGTGTCGATGAATGCAGCTGTTGCATGGCTATATGCTTGACCATTGACAAGCTGGCCCTTAACGACGGGATCTGTGATGAGCGTCGTCGCAAGCTCGTCGAAGCGGTTGTTAAAGATTGCAGCAGGTATTGCGGTGCCCCAAGTCCCGCCAAAACTGCGCAAGAAGGACCAGGTGGATGTGGCAAGTGCTGTATCAATTTCTGAAAGCGGCGCCATTACCGCAGGCAGCAAAGTCGAAACAATGAGTCCTACTCCCGCGGAAACAATAATTTGATAGCCAACCCAGGCGCCCGTGGAGGAATTCTGGTCGAGGAGGTCGAAAAGGCCGAAGCCTATCACTATCAATGCAAAGCCTGCATTATGCGTGGGTCGATAGCGGCCGAATTTGGACATAAACATCCCTCCCATTGCTGCAAAGGGGACCAGAGCTAGAATGCTGGGCAGAAGTTGGACTCCTGAGTAGGCGGGCGATGACCCGAGAACACCTTGGAAGTAAACAGGGAGAAAATAGATCGACCATATGGTGACTATGCTGTGCAATAAGGTGAGGATATATGCTGTCGCCGACGTGCGATTCGACATCAGGTGCAGCGGCATGGTTGGCTGAGGAGCGAAACGCGAACCTTCAAATGCGAGAAAGCCTGCTAGGCCCACCAAACCACTCACCAAAGGAACAAGAACATGGTATGATGACCAGGGATATACGGCGCCAGCCCATGACAGCGCGATGAGGACGGCACAGATGGCCGCAACGAAGATGACATTGCCGGCCCAGTCAATCGACGACAGTTTGGTGGCGAGGTTGACGTTCTTGTTCCATCTCACCTTCAAGAAGGTAAAGAGGAGTACCAATGCGACACCGCCAATGGGAAGATTGAGATAGAAGACCCATCGCCACGTGGCGTAGTCGACAATGAGGCCACCGAAGAATGGTCCGAGAGCTGTGCCGAGAGCGACCATGCCGAAGAGGATGGCAAAGTAGTTGCCTCGTTGTCGCAAAGGAACCAAGTCGCAGATAATCATCTCGACAAGAACGCTGGTGCCGCCTGCTCCGACTCCTTGAATCACACGGCCCGTAATGAGCATCGTCATGTTTTTCGCTCCGCCGCAAATACCGCTGCCTAGAACAAAAGCCGTTGTCCCGGCGATCGTTGGCCACCGACGCCCGAAGACATTCGCCAGCTGTCCATAAAGGGGCTGCAATGCCGTCCTGTCGTGCAGATTAATCAAATCAATCTCGATGCAATGAATGGAAAAAGCTGACTGAAAGTAAAAGCCTCTTGGACTTACATTGTCAGGAAATATCCATTGACAGCCCATACGTACAAGTCACCCCCACCCAGATCCGCGATGATAGAAGGCAAGGCGGTAGATGTGATGGTTGCTTCCAACGCATTAAGCAGACTTGTGAAGCTGAGTGCTACCAAAATCATCCAGAACCGAGGCCCTTTCTTCCATTCGGTCGCTGCGGGCTCGGTAGATACTTGAGCATCTTTTAAGCCGGCTGTGTCTGTCTCCTTGCTGGATGTCTCTTTGTCCTCGTTGGCAAGTGAGTCAAACTCGGCCTTCTGACGACAGAGGTCCATCTTCAAACGCGGATCCATTTCGAATTCTCGACACTCTTCTTTCGGCACACCCATCCTTTTTAGAACAGAACTTTCGCACTGTTTTCGGTCGATGAAAAGAGGACAAGGCGCAATGATGGGTCAAGGGGCGTATATGCGAAGATGATGCCGGTGGGAGGCAGTGCGTAAATTCTAACATCAACGGCACGAATCGAGGAATGGAGGGAAGAAAGGCCAAAAACGCAAACTCACGGGGAAAAAAGTAGCACCAACAGTCTTCGCAACAGCTTTTATAGATGGCGGTGTTATTGCAGACAACACGCACAATGTATAATCGGATGCTATTTCCTACCCGGAGGCTTTTCTTATTTTCCGGTTCGGAGGCCTTCCTTCTCGACCTTCTCGGATACCTTTCAAGTCCAAGGAAGCACACGACCATCTTACGAAAGCATGTCAATGCCAAACCCCGCCCCTGGCAAGGTTAAAATCATGTTCGGACATCTCTCAGCCTCGTTGGTAGAAGAGGGTTGGCAAAAGTGGTAGCGAAGATATATCGAACAGTTCAGATTTAGGGCGGCATCACTCTCGTCCCAATCCGACACGGTTACGAGCAGTGCTTACTCGTTCCTTGGCAAAGGCTTCCTTCCCTCGCCTCTAAATGCTTCTCCTCCCAAGTACCTCCCAGTTTACCTTGCTGTGGCTCGGTTGCACAGTATAAGGCAATGGTCTGATTATGATGTGAGGAAGCTGTTTGCATTCAACCACACTGGTCCAAGTCCTTTTGCAACAATTGTGAACAATTGGGAGGCGAGGCTACAAACTATTGGATCCTGCAAGATGCGTATTCAACGGGTCAGTTATTCGCAATGCATCTACTTCATCCCTTTTTTGGGGGCTCTAGAATAGGATGGGCCCTGGATAGGCCTCCTTCCCTCTTGCACATGCTGATCTAAATCTCCTCTTTGCGTTTCACAGCTCTTCATCTACCCGATCAAATCCCTCCTCCCGGTCGAACTTGCCGAGGCAGAAATCACGTCGACGGGACTGAAATATGACCGGTCTTTCATCCTAATTAAAGATACCGACCGTGCAGACGTTGAGGCACCCAGTCCGGCAGTACAGGAACATCTGACTATCAAAACCCTGTCAAAACTGTGTTTGTTCCAGCCGTCAATTCGGTTCTGCAATGGAACAACTTCGTCTGCAATACTGAGCGTTACGCACACGCTCAGTGGCGAAGAGATCGAGTTTCCACTTGCACCCACATCACAGTTTCTGGGTAAGGCAAATGAGTATACCGTCAAGCTCTTTGGCACGAGAGCTGTGGGTGAAGATATGGGTCATGAAATCGCGGGGTGGTTTTCAAAGCATCTAGGGGAGAAGGCAAGGCTGTTGTATATGGTTGGTGGCAGCACCGGAACGCGAGATTGCCCCGCTCCAGCACTCATTCCACGCAAATCAAAACAGCGGACAGGATTCCTGTCCTGGGTGAAGGTGCACGACGAAGAACTTCATGCCCAAAAGATTCAGTTTGCCGATGCAGCGCCTCTGTTGATTACGACGGTAAGCTCCGAAACGGACGCCAGAGAGCGGGCTTCCAAGAATGTGGGAGGAGATAAGGACGCAGAAGAGGATGTGATCATTCGTTTCCGCTCGAATATACACATCGATAATGTCTCTTCACGTGGAGACGACGCTAACACCAACGGCGATGACGATGACAAGAAAAGATCCGTGCCCTATGCAGAAGAGAATTGGAAGACCCTCAAAATCGTCCCCATTAGACTCGATGAGGACGCCCGCAATGATATAGGACCCCCAGTTAGTCTCGATCTGGTCTTCAACACGGTGCGCTGCATGTCTTTAAATGTTGACTTCCGCACCGGTGGCACTGTCCCGCTCGAGAGGCAGCTCTACAAACTCCTGGTCAAGGACAGGAGAGTCAATCCGGCATTTCCCTACAAGCCGTGTTTTGGAAGGTACGCTTTTGCAGAGCCGTTTGGGACAGTCATAAGGGTAGGCGATCAGGTGGAGGTTATGGAATGGTGCTGAGAAGCCAAGAGATGGAGTATAAGCGTTGGCTGGGATGCACGAGAATAATTTCCATTTCTCGCTGCAATATGAACGTCATGAGCTCACAGCTTTGGACAAAACTGCTATGAGCAAGAGCTGGCGAGGTCGCTGGAACTCGGATGATTATTATTATCATCAGTCCTTTTCCCTCTCGTCTTCGCGCTTATCTTGTTTGTCCTCGCCCTCACCCTTCATCCTGAACTTTTCCCCCGGTGCAGCGCCAAAGCGATCCAGGATGACAGCGTTCCAACCATTCCCTTCTTGATCTGCTACTGAATCGCGACACCTTGGCTAAGCCTAAAGCCAGCAGCGACATTTCCTGGATGGGGCGATCTCCGGACCGCGCCAAATACTACCGTCGTGTCCCTAGGAGCAAGATGAACTTCAGGAAATTTTTATAGGCGCAGCTACACTGACGGATTCCGGGATACAAGAACTTCAATTGGGTAGTGTACGAATCTTTTTCCGGAAAGGTATCTCTGACTCTCTCGAACACGTAGCAGTTCGCTGAGAGGCTAGTGAGGCCTCCACCGAGACGCTTATTTTGTTGGATACAGGGAACTTGAGAAAGGAGAGAAATAGGGCTCTTTTGCAGCTACAAGCTAATGAGATATTTCCTATGTTTACAAGGTAAACCTTTGATTCAGCTCTGCCCTAGCGACTCTGGTGCCTGGTAGATAGGGAGAGAGCCACGACGCTGACATAGAGATACCATGCATTGACGGTGTCTTCGATTCTCTCCCTTCCCCCTAACACGGCTGTCCACTAGCAATAGTAATGGAGCAAGACCAGACTCCCAGCCAGAAGCCAGGCCATCCGCCCGCTCAAGCGATCCTCCACGAGTTGCGGACTACCGAAAACAGCGCTGCCCATTTGCTGCCCAAGCTGCAGTCTATGAAAGAATCCAACCCCCATTTGACGCTCTTAGACGGCGGTGCAGGCTCCGGCACCATCTCTGTGAGTTTCTGCAGGGCACCGTCTACAAGCTCCCCTTTGCCAACGAGACATTTGACGTCACCTTTTGTCATCAGGTGCTGATCCACATTGGCACCCCGTGGGATGCGCTACGTGAAATGCTCCGAGTAACAGAGCGAGGCGGCATCGTCGCGGCCCGCGAAGGCGACTACGAGACGGAGTGCGTCTGGCCCGAACTTCCCAAGCTGCGTTACTTCCATAAGCTCATGGCAGGCCTTATGAGTGCCGGCGGTGGCACTCCAACTACAGGCCGAGAGCTGCTTTCTTGGGCACTCAAGGCTGGCGTCGAGCGGAGCCAGATACGCTCAGCGATAGTACATCGTCGTACCATACAACGAGCGAGAGGAAAGTCTGCTGTAGGCATCATTATCCCACTCTGCTTCTTGTGGCTGCAAATATGGCTCTAACGGCTGTGTTTTCTCTAGCCCAGGCGTTGGGTGATCAGCTTAGAGCGGGTTCTTTGCGCGAGAAAGCCCTAAAGTTCGATTTAGGCACTGAGAATGATTTAGAAGAAATGGCCAAGGCTTTGGAGGAGTGGGCGAAAAGAGATGATGCATGTTTGGCCATGGTGCACGGGGAAATTTTTGTCCAAAAGTAGTGATTTCGAAACCCCAACTGACACTTCACCGCTGGTCCATGTACATCGTACGGGAAATATATGATAACTGAAAACGAGCTCGAGAATGGTGGAAGGCGTGGTTTGCTCCGCACGCCAGAGGCCATGTGGATCTCGTCCTTGCAGGATCGTGTTTCGGCACACAAGGGAAGGATAATTCTCACCCAGGGAGAATCGGGTGTTGTCAAACGCTCCGAATACCGACTAGCAAAATCTCTTCCTACAACGCCAGTGGCACAAGCATAGCCTAGAGTTTGACTTTGTGCAGGCTCCGCGGCTTCATAGAGCTGTTGCTCAACTGATGAGTGTGTGACTGTGGGATGAGCTTTGCTAGAACACAAGGCTGGGAATAAGTGAGGAAGTAAGTGAAGAAGTAAGTGAAGAGATATCCTCCCACGAGCTTTCCAATTAGAACGCTTGCTGCTAGACGATCTTGGTCCTTTCAAACTCGAAGCTATTCTCTCTTCGGATGCCAAGTTGGTTGCAAACGCCTGGCCTTGCATCAGCCCATAAATGTATGCCTCTCCAATGAGCCGATATCCCCCTTCACGGCGACGGGGGATTACCGGTGTCCTGCATCTTGCAATGAGCCAAATGTCAGTGGTAAACCCCAGAAACCCTTTTGTCGATATGAAAAGTTTCCGGCCGAGACAGACTTCACCCATCCATTTCTGCAATGCGGCCGTTTTCGGATGGACAATCGCTCGTGTCATTGCCTTTGCGCCTCCCATCACATATTTCTCTATAAATTCAAGTTCCTCGTCTCTACCTTGAATCCCCTCTAGGTGCTCGTAAAGGGATATGACTTCCGGTGGCAATATGATCGGTCCTGATCAGTTTTCGCGCATGAGCTTTACTAATGTAAATATCCTGCCGGCTTCGACAGTCTCATGAGAAGGATCCTCCAAATGATTGAACAGCGCGTCGAGAAGCTCGAGATCGTGAGCACTCCAGGCTGGTTGAGAAGATCACTTGCGTAGTTCTTTCTGTGATAAACCCATCATGGATACTCCTGCGGCCAAACATCCCTGTGTACAAAGCCACATCTCAGATTTTGTCGAGAATAATTGAGCCGTGTGATGTAGGAGCGGGATTGGTGCTTGCGGGATCATAAGGATCAACATTGCAAAGAGTCCGCCAAAGCACCTTGTTTCGTTGTTGAAGGACCAGACGGAGTGGAATACTTCTGATTGGGCTCGTTCCGCCATGAATCTCCAGAAATTAAAAAGTCATGGCGTTGGTCTTCGCATGGAAAGAAGTTGGCCGAAGAGATATTTCCAATGGAAGCTCCTTTACGTCCAAGACATCTCCGGGAAGGCCTTTTGGAACAGGTCTGCAGAATGGTCCGCATCCGATCCGTGATGTTGTGAGCCCATCGCTGACGACATTAGGGGAGGATGTAGCACTGAAGTCCGGGACCCATGAAGGAAGGCATTTCATTGTAGGGCAAGCCTCCTTTTAATAATAGTATATATTGAACTGGGGCGAGGCTACTAGCCATGGGTATCAACTCGTACGGCGGTGGGTATAGCCTCTTCCCAACGCGGACAGTCAACTAGGGGAAGTCCTCTCTGTTGGTAACTTGGTTGATTGCCCATTCTATGAAAGATAGTCCCCCAGGACTATATAAGAAGAACCATAGTCTAGGGTCGGCGCCCCAGCCAATCATAACGCTATCCACCACTTCAAACTTCTCCCATTACAATATAACGTCAATGAATCCTGAACCATGAAGCGAGTAGCATCGATATACACATCCTGGGCATTATGTGAGTAGTGTATTGATATTTTAGTTCTCAAGGACGCTTCTTCGAGTTCTACGGAGAGACCTATAAGAGCGTAAGCTTGTCCTTAAGGTCGGTGGCTTGATGTCTCTCAGCAGCTATAGAGCACCCAAAGAGGCTTGCGGGATCTAAACTCGCTTGGAATTGAGTCCTTCCACTTAAATATCTTCGTGAATCTTTCAACGTGAAATGCGATATGAGAATCTCTTTGGTATGCACTGTCCTGGCCTGGAACAATGTACTCGTTGAATGTCTGAATCTTTGATGAGCTTTCCAGCCGTCTTTCCGGCCGCTAGAGCGCTCGCATCATGCTCTGGATTGCATATAACAGGTCGCAGTACTTCCATCCATCCGTTGCGATGAAGAGACTGGACAATGTGCTCAATCCAATCTGAAGGAAAAGCACGCAAACCGCAAATGAACGTCGATTCTGCGCCGTAAGGAACTCCTGAATCACCCAGACCCTTGAAAAGCAACATCGGGTGCATATAAACACAACCATTCGATGTAATGGATGGTTCGTATCGGAAGATAGTAAATCTACAAGCCTCGCACGAGACTAGACTGGTGCATTTCGAGCATACGATAGTCCACATTGTTCAGAGTTTGGGCTGCAGTTGAGAAGGATCGAGAATGTCCGGGGCTTTTTGCATGAAGCAATCCTCGCCGCCGATCCAGATACGAGCGTCTTCTGCTTGTGTATACACTCGTACCATCATCCTGAACTGTTGACCTTTCTCGATCGCACCACCTTGATTAATGCAAAGAGCGTCTATCCATATTGGAAAGCTGTTCTGAGATCGAGCCGGACCAGAAGATATTGTCCAGTGGAGAGCTAAGAGAGCTGTGTAGATATTGGTATTGATAGAACTGGGAGAACTACCACACGTGATGGTCTATGATCAGTTTTCTCATGCTTCATGTGGTAGAGCACCCTGTGGGAAGGGATATGCTTCTAGAAGGTCACCCCATGTGTAAGGCCGTGCGTGGTAGCTTGTTGACGGGCAGCTTGATTAAATGAAGGGGTTGAACGACCGATTTCTTGACAACCGGCTGCGCTTGATGCTTATATGGCTGTGTCGTCGGTCTCCGCATCCTTTTTCCGAGCATCCTTGCTGTCTCTCGATGATGCACTTTGGCAACCCTTCCACCTCTATCGTTGGGTCTGCATGAGGAAGAACGCAGCTTCCATTATCAAGGCCGTCGGTATGGAAATGGGGTCTAAGCCCTTGGAATGGATTGAACAAGGTTGGCTGTGCACTGGGTCTTTCAAGCATATTGCGCACAAACCGGATCGAAGCCCACTGACGGGGGGCTACTGTTGTCCAGGTCCTCATCCGACATTTCGAGCAGTCCGAGGCTGTGTCCGCATGGAGTTCATCAGCCAGTGTAACACGCAGCCAGTGGTTCTTTGTTGTGCTGGATTCTGTGAAATCAAAGAACAATGGATGGAAATCCAAGCGAAGGCAAAACGAAATGGTATTAGAACTCCATCAAGATCATCTCCTTCTTTTTCCGGAAGTCACATGAAATGCTTCTATGGGTCAGGCTCCATGCTTGGCTGGGCCTAGTGCTCACGAGGCTCACTGGGCTGGGGATCAAGCGGGGAAAACACCAACTTTCTCATTCGATTGGTCTCTCAGCCATACACGCAAACGCTTTTTCCCTTTGTTAAGTCGCTCCCTCATCACTTTATCAATTCCCAACCACACGATGGTGGTTACTCCAACAACATCGCGCACGCAACAGGGCCAGAAAAGCGGAAGAATGGCAGACAGGTCGCAGCATGACGGCCCGAAATCACTTGCACGAGCATGTCTGTCCTGCCGGGCTCGAAAAACACGCTGTGACACGGCACGACCCCGTTGTACGTCTTGCACGGTGCAGGGGAAAGATTGCATCTACAAGCAGGAAACACCGCAGAGAAGGTGGGTTGATACTCGCAACAGGCCCATGATGTTTCTATACGTTGGCATTGACAGGCGTGGAACTTCCAGACCGACATTGGCACGTATTCACGAGCTGCAGAAACAGAACTCTGCTCTTGGTGCTTTCATTGCCAAACTCAAATCCGTGCCATCCGCCAAACGCGAGAGACTGTTGACATCGGTGTCAATCTGTGATGGACATGTCCAGTTACCAGACGAGGGTAACGATGACGGCAACGCCGAACCACAATTTTCACATCAACCACAACTTGCTATTCTGACGACGGGAAATCAAGAATCTGTGCCTAATATGACACAAACTCTCCGGCGTCGCAGTAGCCTGGGGAGCCTGGAAGATTCATCCGACGAGGAATTCGATATCGGGCCATTCCTTTCTGTTGATGAGGCGGGAAAACCCAGCAGTTTCGGACCATCCTCTGCCCTTCATTACCACCCGAGAACCGGCAGCATTTCTGTGCAATCAGCTGCTTCTCTTGCAAGAGATCATATCAGAAATTGCTTAATCGCTGAAGCTGCCCTACAACGACAGAACGAGCGCCATTTGGCCTCTCTGCCCGACGTCCACGGAGTACCTACAGAGCTGGCCATGCACTTACTTGAATTACATTGGAGTCGTCAACATCACACACTGTTACTGACCTACCGACCGGCGATCGTAAGAGATCTATTGCGGAACGGGCCTCATTGTTCCAGGTTCCTGCTTCATGCCATATTTGCTTGCACAAGCAAGTTTTCTGCCAGAGTGGAGGTCCGGGACGATCCTTCAGATCCTTCAACAGCAGGTCGACGTTTTTTCCGGCGCTGTGACGAACTGCTTGCAGAAGATTCCCTACTCATATACCCGAAACTTCCAACTGTGGTCGGACTGTTGTTGTTAGGATCGAGCTACAATGCCAAGGGCGAGACCTCGAAAGGGTGGTTGTACACAGGCTACGCCTTGCGTATGATCTATGACCTCGGTCTACATCTCGATCCGAAAGAAACCAGCGACTCTCCAGAGCAAGTGGAAATTCGTAGGAGAATATTTTGGGGAGCCTTTGTATCTGACAAACTGCAAAGTCTCTATCTTGGGCGCCCAGCGGCCATCAATCTCCGCGATTCGCATGTGTCGCGAGATTTCATGGACACTCTTGAAGAACAGGAACTTTACGTACCCTACAAGGATCCCAAATACCCAAGTCCTCAGAGTACTTCAACCTTCACTGGCCTTCCCATTTACTCGGTCTCAACGTTTCAACAGCTGTGCCTGTTATCGAAGATCATGACAAAGATCATCAACACGTTCTACGTCGTTGGAGCAACACCTCGCAACGCCCAGGCCAGTCTGCAGCTTGTTGATAACGCCCTGCAGGCATGGAGGGAGAACCTGCCAACAAACCTAGATTTCCAACCGCGACTCCTGCAATCCAATCCGATATCATATCCTCCTCCAAACCTGATGAATGTGCACGCACTTTACCATTCTCTGCTGATCCTTCTCCATCGGCCGTTCATATCGGACGGGCATTTGCGTTCGACCGCTACTCCCTCGCTCTCTTGGGGTCGCTGCACATCTGCAGCACGAAGCATTACGAGCATTGCATTGGCATGGAAGACTGCATACAGTCTCAGAGGCGCGCCGTACTTGTTGAGCTATGCAATATACGTTGCTTGCACGATCCACGTTAGGAACGCAGCAGCCGATGCGACCAATGGCAGCAATAGAGAGCATACATCCCTTCTTGCAGCAAGTTTGACCTGCTTGGAACAATTGTGTCTCGCCAATCCTGGCGTTTCTAAGCCCATGAGGATCATACAGAGATTGATGGAGGCCAGCAAGATTGTATTACAGCCAGGTAAATATCACTCGAGCGATGTCGTCTTAGTTGCTGACTCCCAGACAGAGGAAACTATATATCCCAGCTACTCGCCGTCATCATTCGACTTTGACACCATCTTCAGCATGTTTCCTACAAGAAATATGACAAGCTCAAATGTGCAGTACTCCGGTGAAGTAGTCTTCGACTCTGACATCCCCGATGATCCTCTTTTCGGCCTCATGGACGAGCCCATGCTTCCTTACACCGATATGTCAGACACCTTCTTCAGCGGCACCAGATCGTTTTGAGGGCCAGATACATCTATTTGAAGTAAGTGAATTAGATCTGGTAGGGGCTACGTGAGTGAGGCTCCGAACCATCACCCACTCTCCAATACTTGACGAAAATGAAGCGAAGAGTTACCAGCACGCGGAGAATGACTCTCCGGCTCGGAGTATGACTCTCCGCAACACTAAAAGCTCCCATCAGACGAAATTGGTTTAATTCATCCCTGCTTTTGGGGTATGGCCTGGCTGCGGACTTTAATTGGTGAACCACTGGACCGCGCTGGTCCTCGCCACGGTCTGAAGTCGCGAATCTCTATATTAATACGTCGATGCTTTGGCGCATCCAGGAAGCTCTAGCCAACCGTATTGGAACGAGGCTCGAGTTTGACAAATTTTCGAAGTAGCCAGTTATAATGAGCGGCGAACCCTCATTATACGACAAGGGCAAGGAAGTCCGCATCGCTGTGCTGGGAGAAGCACATGTCCAGAGATCCCTTGCGGCGCGACAGAGCGAGTTCGCGAAACCTTTGCAGGACTTCACCACCGAGTTCTGCTGGGGAAAGGTCTGGGCTCGCCCCGAGCTCGATCGCAGGTCGAGAAGCCTCGTCAGTACGTTCAGAAACCTCCTCTCCCAGGAATCCCTTTGGGTGGAAATATTGCTTGCGAGGAAAACGCACAGGGTTTTTGCTATCTCTCATCGGCCGCGCCGTTTTACCAGGCAACTTCTCTGACGAATCACTAAACTTAGATCTCGGATTCATGATTGCCTTACACAGCTGGCATGAGTTGTCTATTCACACCAAAGGAGCAATTCGGAATGGGGTGACGGAGGTCGAGATCAGAGAGGTCGTTATGCAGTCCATGGTGTACTGCGGTGTGCCTGCCGGTGTGCAAGCGCTGAAAGTTTGCGAAACGGCGATCAACGACATGATCGAGAGTGGAGAGCATCAGAGACAGTTAAAGGAGAAGGTGTGAAGTGAGTTGAAGAAAAAGGGGCAGCTCGAAGAGGAAATCTTGTCTTTCCAAACGGAAACAACAAGACGTATTGAATGTCTTTGTTTGTCCCATAGAAGGATAGGAAACAACCCTTGCTGCATTTTGATGCTAATCTCAATACATCCACCGCGGGAAAAAGCGGTTCTGGTTCTCAGAAGCCCATTTCCAGTCATGCGCAACTATCCACTCCACCGCGTCGCCATTGACAGCTATCAGTCTCTGGACGTTCTCGATCGTCTTCCGCGCCTTGGGCAGCTCGGCATGAGCACTTTTCAACTTCCCCTGTCCGTTGTCGTACTCGAGGATCAGCTTCTCTCCTGTCATTATCCGGCGATCGTGGCAGCAATCTCCTCCCAAATACACCCATTTGTTTGGCCCGACTCGGAGCAGGGCGTTAACGTGTCCGTGGATGTGGCCTGGGGCGTCTATGATCCACAGACTCCCGTCCCCAAAGAAGTCGACGGCGTTGGGCAGTGTGGATATCGACTGCCACTGATGCTTTGTCTGGGACGCCGCGGCCATGTGTTTCCTGTCCGATTCTGGAACGGGTGGGAGCTCTGTCGTCTGGCCTGCAGGCAGGGCGCCCTTTTCGATCCGCTCGTGCGGATAATGTGGCGCGCCGTTCTCAAGGATGTACAGCGTGCCTGAACCAACGATGAACTTGGAATTGGGATAGTCGGAAGGCAGGCCGATGTGGTCCCAATGGATGTGGCTCAGGATCACGTAGTCAATGTCCTTCGCGGGATCTAGGCCGCCGCTCAACAGGCTCGACCTCGCATCTGCCGACGAGTACACAGGCTGTCGGGTAGTAATGTGGTGCTGGGTTGCCGGTTGAGCGTACTTTGTCAGGTCTCGTTTGATGCCAAGGTCAAAAACGACACGTGTAGGCTTTGAGGAAGAGCCTGCCTCTCGGTGCTCGATCAAGAAGCACATCGACGGTACTGTCGTCCCCTTCTCCGGATCTGGATCCGTTACAAAGTTGCGTTCAGGAAGCGTCAAAAATCCTCCGTTCAGCGCTGATACTTTAACATATGCCTGGTCTGCGGCCGGAGGCGGCAGACGCAGACCGTCATCGCTAGGTCTCTGCTGTGAGTCTCCCATTATTGCTGCGGCAAGACGTCTGCCTTTTCGATTCTCCTGAGGTGGCTGTCCCTGATGGCATATATTAGAGCAGGACTGATAGTCCGATCGACGGGTCGACCGAATACGATTCAGGTAGGGAGCCACTCAAATTAGCAGAGAAACATCTAGTATCATGTCCCATTAGAACTCCAAAGGGAGTTCCAGCCTGACGTTACTGAAGCAAGTTTGGGATGTTGTCACTCGCACTATTACTCATTGCCGACGTACCTCGTGCTCCGGCTCTGGGAACGTCAAGCTGTGTGTGGGCTCTTCCCCGAGGCAGTCTACAGGGGACGGGGAAGGCCCGATTGGTCAATGTATATCAGACGGCGGGCAGGTGAGGATCCTCCACTGGGTTTCTTTCGGGGTTCGCCCAGGGTAACATGGAGTTCAAGTACCAGCCTCGCTAGCCGAGCTAGCACATCACTCCAAATTCCGGAGGCCGGAGACTGATACTCCGAGCCAGCCTTGCGAATGAAGACCCCTCACTGAATGAGCATTGTGCCGAATTTGGAGAGTCGATCCCCGACATTGGCGCTGCCGAAGGTTCCCACAACAACACTTGTAGGATTTTGGATAACCTGGAACCCCTGCGGGCGATGGACTTCAAAGATCACGACGTGGAAATCGTTATTGCGAGTATTTAGTGAGTTGTTGGCAGCATTTCGCCGTAATTTTGCATAGATTTATCATCCAACAACGGCAGCACCAGTAAACACTTGCAGCGAATCCAACATGGGCTCTTATTCGGAACCCCAATTACCTGCCAATATTGGCTTCATTGGACTTGGAAACATGGGCTTTCCGATGTTTTCGAACTTGGTTAGTAAGTTGCCGGAAACGTCGACAGTACACTTCTATGATGTGAATCCGGAATCGATGGAGAGAGGTTTAAAGGAGTCAGGCGCGGTGGCCAAGCTGGATCCTTGTGTCAGTTCCAGAGAGGTCGCCGAGAAGAGCGTATGCATCTCCCGTGTCCATACCTTTCAGAGAGGATCGCCCAGTTAGCTGACAGAAACAACTGTCGATAGGACGTGCTTATGTCAATGGTACCAGAGGGAAAACATGTTCGTGCTGTCTACCTGGACCCCGAAAACGGTGTGCTGGCCGCCAAAGATCTAAGCGGCAAAATCCTCATCGACAGTAGCACCATCGACACGGCCACGTCACTCGAGGTCGGCGAGGAAACGCGGAAACAGCACCCAAGAGCCAACTTTTTCGACGCCCCGGTCTCCGGAGGCACCGCCGGTGCGAAGAAAGGTTCCATTACGTTCATGATCGGCTCTACTAAGTCAGATCCTCATCTACCGTTGCTGAAAACCCTGATGTCACTCATGGGCCACAACATCTACACGTGCGGGGGCCCGTCTCTAGGCCTGACCGCGAAGTTCTGCAACAACTACCTGAGCTCCTCAATCACGCTCTTGAACGCAGAGATGTTTAACTTCGCCATTAAGTCGGGCATGGATCCCAGGACGCTGCAGGAAATCCTCAAGACCACGACGGGTTGTAACCGCAACGCCCAATGGGCGAATCCGGTTCCGGGGCTGAGTCCCGACGCGCCATCGTCCAGAGGCTACAAGCCGGGCTTCAAGATCGAGTACGTCAAGAAGGACATTGGATTGGCCATAGCTGCGTGCGAAAGGGTCGGGGCGAAGCTTTGTGTTGGTCCCACGACTTGGAACACGTACGTCGAGGCAGGCAAGGACCCCCGCTGTGCTGGCATGGACTCCAAGGTCATCTATCGGTTCATCGGAGGTGATGAAGAGTGGCAGGATAAGTTTGCGACGGACGAGTGACGGACGCTGAAGAGTCGACGTTTTGTTCAGGTTTTGCAGACCAGATACAGCTGAATAAACAGTGGGATACAAGGACTTTGCAGTGGCCAATAGATATCCCTATCGTGCCCCATAGGCTCAATGATCTACGAAACGGGTGTCACTACAAGCAAACGGCCTCGAGCGAGTTTGTAGCTGGCAACAGAAGGGCTACTTGCAGATTACGCGCAATTGAAGATCAGTTTGCATTCGAACTGGTACCTGGGCCAGCAAAAAAAAGGCCTGTCATGTTTCATTTTGCTCCGTCTATCAGCCTCTGCAAACCGTCCAGGACGGATTTTTCCACTTGTACGAAGCCGCTCTCTCTCGTGCGTTGGCGGCTCTCCCAACTTCGATCGAACGGCATCCTGATCGGTCCGTTCCCCTTGAGCGGCTGGCTAGCCCTGATGGTTTGCGCGTAGGAGTCTACCTCGCTCTTAAAGTCGTCGATCGGTCTGAACATCTCCGGGTCCATGGCGATGACGAGAAGTCCCCAGCCCTCGGTGTTGCCTGTATGGGCAGGAGCCCCAGCCAGTGCACCCAGTAGCTGAATAGCTATCGCGAGACCGCTGCCCTTGTGTCCGCCCCAGACCGCCATCGCCCCCTGCATGGCCTTGAACGGGTCCCTGGTCGCATCGCCGTTCTCGTCATACGCAGAGCCCTCCGGCAGCTCCTCGTTCATCAACTGCGCCAGCTTCACCTGCGCATGGATGATCTTGGAAGTTCCTATATCCCAGATAATGGGCTGCTCAGTTCCCGACGGGAAAGCTATGCACATCGGATTTGTCCCGAAACGAGGCGTGCAGCTGCCCTCGGGCGCGACCCACGGCCCAGCACTGGCAGCGATCATGACTACCAAGTCTTGTCTCGTACACATCTCAGCATAGTAGGACAGCATGCCGGCGAAGAAAGTATCGCTTACACCAACAATGCCCACGCCGCCTACTTTCGCCTTTTTGATGGCCAGTTCCGTAGCTCGGAAGGCGGCCAGATAGCCTATTGCTCCCTTGGCGTCGAGTTGCGCTGACGCTGAGCTCTCACGAGTGATGACCATGTCCGCACTGCCTACCAGCTTGTGCTTGACTC